CTAAGAAAGGAATTATTTCTATATTAGTTTCTCACCCTGGACACTCAATATAATATGACTTTCTTCAGAGCATAATTAAATATCAGAAAGGTGCATCATAGGCTGATTTTAGGGGGCTGAATTACTAATGTAACAAAGGATCTCACAATTGAACAATTTATCTCTAATAGGCCAAAGACAAGACCATTTCAGCAAATCATCAGGGGCCTATAGACATTTCAAGAGCAAAATTATTACTACACACAATTCTCAGGGAGCAGGCCTTTGGGAGGATGGGGCATGGTTATAGTGATTGTTTCCCAATCTCTATATCTCCCTCCTCCACTGTGCATTAATTGTGTGGTTTGGTGAGGGATCAGGAAGAACTGACTACTCCCTACTCTCAGCTCTGTGAATGGGGTATAATACTGCCCCTGCCCCTCATTCCATAGTGATTGGTTCAGGCAACTCAGGTCTAAGCATGACATTACTTGGCCACAGGATTTGATCATGAATTGTCACGTGATTCAGTTTAAACCAATGATACAAGAAGATGCAAGACAGATTGAAGACAAGAAATGCTACAAACATTTTACTGTCATGTGGGAAGCAGAAAGGAGAGAGAAAAAGAAATTAGGTGTTTGATAAAATTTTTGAACTAGAGTGTAATCAATTATCAGTCCACTCCTACTTCTGATCCTTCCAGTTATGTAAGCCAATGCACCTCTCTTACGGTTTGTACCAGTTTTAATGGGTTTTGTCCTACCTTAGTATGAAGCATCCTAACTGATATAGTAACTGGACAAATCAAGAGCATGGTCGCTAGCCCTAAGAGTAACTAAAGGAGCCAGTGTGAAGTGCTTAGTTCAGAGAGAAAAGGTTGGAAGAGGGGTACTAAAAGTGAAAGATCATCTCCAAGTAACTGTGCCCCAAAATAGCTTCTATGAATGTCTTTAAGGCAAAAAAAATGAGATACAAACATTACCATCTATAAAAAGCAAGCCAATCTGAATAAAATTTGAAATAAGCAATTGCTTCCATGGCTACTGTTTACTCAGTGTGACTGTCTCCTCCTGGAAGTTGCCATGGATCCATTTCTGGGCCAATTAAACCCAAGTCCATAAGGTTTCTCTTCTGACCCCTGCATATACTCCCACCAGAAGCAGTTCCAACAAGTCTCATGCCTGGAATTTAAGCTTCTCGGGGATATGGGTTTATTTGATACCCACATAGAAGATTTCTGCAGAGGTTTCTTGAGGGAGAGGTATAATAAAGATGAAATGATAGAGAATTAAGATGGAGGACCCAAGCTTTCTTAGATGTCACCCCCAACCTAAGTCTCCATATAAGACTGGACTCTACTCTTTCCAAGGAATCCAGGAATGGGAGTGCAAGAGACAACCACAAAGAATCAGTAGTACCTAGATTCTTCCCTTGATTAGTGTGTGGGCTGAGATTTGGACAGTTTTTCTGACCCTAAAATAATTCAGCCTTGTGGAATCATAGAATCACAGAACAGGAGAGCATGAAGGGTCCTTGGAAAACATCTTGTTATACCTTCTCTTTTTAATGGCTTTGGATTGAATCTGGGATAAGGGAAGCACCTTATTTCAGATATTTAAACACCTTCCTCTGTGCTGCCATGGTACCTGCTGCTTACTGTTTTCACAGCACTTAGCCTGAGTTGCATTTTCATTGCCAGTGAATACATCTGCTCTTCCTCTAAACTGGAAATCCATTGGAAGCAGAAACTGTCTTGCTCCTTTATTCACTGGTGTCTAGCAGAGTCTATCATAAAGCAGGTGGTCAGATGTGTGTTGAAGAAATCAGAGTTTCAAATGAAACAGTGAGGTTATCTTTCCATTAAGCAAAGGATATACAGGCATAACCTCATTTTATTGTCCTTCGCTTTATTGTGCTTCATAAATGTTGTGTGTTTTACAAATTGAAGACAAGACCCTCCACCAGCAAAAAAGATTATGATTCACTTTTTTGTGGTGGTCTGGAACTAAACCTGCAATATATTTGAGGTATGCCTGTAGAATCTGGCTTTCATTACCTTTAAGAGGATAGTAGTTTCCCCTCCAACAAATCAGATGATTTCTACCTCTATTTTGCTTATTTGCAAAGTATCAAATTGACAAGTATGAGAGTCAATGTATGGTATAGATCCCCTACCCAAGCTTCAAAAGCTGACATGTTTTTCTGTTTATGCAAGTGCCCTTATCCCAAGCCTGAAACATATGGAGACCTCATGAAGAGAAGTACTATTTTCTCTTTTATATTATAAATCTTAAAACTTCATATTTTTTTGCTGCCTCAACATCCCCACAAATAGGCTGTGAGCACCTCACCCTGGTGACCAGGTACACCTTTGTGATAAGGCTGGCCCCTGCTACAAGATCCCCTTCTTGTCTTCCCCTGACTAGGACCTAATGACATTCAAATGTACTAATGAAATCCTCTCTTGCCTTTTGCTTCTGTACTCTATCCTGATCCCAATAGATATTTGCCCATGGGGTACTCTCTTCTCTCCTCTCCTCTCCTCTCCTCTCCTCTCCTCTCCTCTCCAAAACCAAACAAATAAAAAAAAATGATTTAAAAAGTAAGCAATTAAAACAAAATGCAAATATATTATCTAAAAGTACAGATTCTTAGAAACATCGAACAGACCATCAAACCTCAGAGGGAAGGTAGGGGAGGATGGAAGGGGTAAGAGATCAACCAAAGGACTTGTATGCAATGGACACAGACAATAGTGGGGGTGAGTGCTGGTTGGGAGAGGTCAATGGGGGAAGGGAGGAGACATATGTAATACTTTCAACAATAAAGAATTTTTTAAAAAATAAAAAATTATAAGTTCAGGTTCTCTAAATGTGTCATTTTTAATATTAAATTGTCACTGTCCATGGTTAGAACCTTAGTAAAGATTTATATACCAGATTCTCTACTATCTCCTGGGGCTCTTGGGAAGCTTCAATGGGAAGATTTTGATGTGGAACACTAGTAAAGATTGGTAGCAGAGTCTGAGGTTTGGGTGCTGGTGGAGAAAGAGGAGGCTGACAGCATGAGGAACTTTTGGGGAGAAAAGAGCGCTTTTAAAAGGTGAGAATAAGGGAAGGAAGTTGGGAAATTAACATTTATTGATTCTTCTGTGAGTCAGGCATTAAATTAGATGCTTTCACATCTACTATCTTATTTAATTCATAATTATTTTA